TTACGAACACTTGAAAGGAGAAACGACATGGCTCCTTTAATGTCTCCTTGTAAACATTTTAACCATGAAATTCTCGAAAGAGATTCCAACTGTAGTTCAACGTTTCCGGTCTCGTTAGTTATTGCAAGTGCCTTCTCAAGATAATCTTCAGCCTCCACATATTTGCCAAGAGAAAGAAAAACAGTTCCTAGGTCTGCGTAATCATTTGCCTGTCCGTCTTTGTCGCCACTCTCTTTTCTGATCAAAAGTGCTTTCTCCAGGTATTCTTCAGCCTTTACATATTCCCCAATAGACAGGAATACGTTTCCAATGTCTCCGTAACATGTCGCTTCGCCAGTTCTGTTGGCAATGTCTAACGCTATTGCAAGTGCTATTTCGTGACAATCGTTAGCTTCCTCGTATTTGTCAAGGGATTTGTAAACCTTCCCTAGGTCTCCGTACGACAGTGACTCTCCTTTTCTGTCACCAATTTCTTTTCTGATCGCAAGCGCTTTCTCAAAATAGTCTTTAGCGAACTTATAATCACCCAGAGATAGAAAGACATTTCCCAGGTCTTCGTAGCCTGCTGCTTCGCCATTTCTAGAGCCAATTTCTTGATTGATTGCCAGCGCTTTCTCGAAAAATTCCTTGGCCTTTCCAATTTTGCCAAGGTTGTGGTAAGCAGTTCCTAGGTTTCCATAGCATGTGGCTTCTCCACCTCTATCACCGGTTTCCTTTGTGATCATAAGTGCCTTCTTCGTGTAATCTTTAGTTTTGTAATACTCGCCAAGACAAAGAGACACACTTCCAAGGTTGGCGTAATCTGCCCCTTGAACTCTTTGTCCAATTTTTGTTCTGATGGTAAGAGCTTTGTTATAATATTCTTTAGCCTTAACATATTCACCAAGATATTGCAGCACAGTTCCCAGGTTTACGTAACAGGATGCTTCTCCCTTCATGTCACCAACCTCTATTCTGAGCGTTAGGTCTTTCTCCAGAAATTCCTTAGCCTTGGCATATTCACCAAGAGAGGCAAACACGTTTCCTAAGTTTCCGTAATATCTTCGTTCCCCTTCTCTGTCTCCGATTTCTTTCTTGATCGCAAGTGCTTTCTCAAGACATTCTTTGGCGTTGACATGTTCACCGAGAGATTGGAACGCAATTCCTAGACTTTCGTGAGATGCAGCTTCGACATCTTTGTCTCCTATTTCTTTACTTATTTCCAGTGCTTCCTCGGAGAGTCGTCTTGCTTCTACATATTTACTTTGACGGTGATATATCGTTGCCAGCCTTAGGCTTGTCTTAATTCTTCCCACTGCGTTTTCAGCACTCTTGCTGCTGTGTATAGCAAGCAGTTTTCTGCCGTATTGTATGGCATTGGTGTAGTCACCGATCACGTCGCACCCTTTGAAAATTATGGCATGTAGTGCTTCGAAAAATGTTTGGATTAGTTCTGTTTCTGTTATGACAGCTTTCTTGCTTAGAATGATCAAGCATTCTTTGCACAACTTTATCGCCCTTTCAACTCGATAAGTGTTGACAAGGAAGTTGGCGACCACGATACCCATCCATATGGCTTCCAAGATCTCGCTTGTGTTTTGTCCGTCGAGCATTTCTGTTAGAAGAAGAAAAAGTGAAAGGTATGAGACAACATCTGTTGTCGTCTGTTCACCTCATTGAGAGGAGAGTCAATTCTGCCTCCAATATCTATAGCTATGGGCTCCATCTACACTAACGCCTTTTGTAAACGTATACTTTTTGAAATGCATTTTCACCTACCCTCCACGCTAAAACGATCGAAAACGAATACATTTGAAAACGCTGTCCAGGGTGGAGACATTTGAAAACGTTGCCCTATCGTATTACTGTGGACATCGAAGTCGGAGACTCGCGAAAATGATGACGTCATTCAGATCATGCGGTCACATGTAACTGACAGTTGTGGTGTTTTCTCAAAGCATATCAGCGTTTTCTAGCTTTTTAGCGTGGACGGGAGCTTTTCCGGCGAAAAAGCATTGTTTCGAAAATGCATTAGTGTGTACGAGGCCATAGTTTCAATGTTCAACGTTGTTCGGTGAAGATTTCATCCACAAAAATAGCACTGAATTTCCACGACCTATTTGTTACGTTTTCAATGTGGAAGTGCTAGTGCAATTCCCTATTTATAGTCTGTGAATTTTGACTTTCTTTGTCAGCCCCTTCCCTTCCCTCCCCTCCGCTCCCCCGGCTAGGTGGATTTCGATTTCCTTCCCATGTTTCGTCTACTGATGTAATGGGAAGCAGGAAATAAAATAAGGTTCGAAGTCCCACATTACATTAAACTCGCGCATTTTGATTGGAACAAGGATCAACTGAGAAATTTCTGGAAAAAACTTGATGTTTTCATCATTGTAATACAGGAAATAATCTCTTAAAAGGTATGAACAACGGGAACTTGAAGCCCTTTTCAATTCTTGAAGCAAACCAAAGCAGTTTCTAAGTAGATCAGAGTCTAGTCTGGAAAAGGTATTGAGTTTGAAATAGGGTCAGTCTCACTGCGCTCGTCTCCGGATCGAGTGTCTGAGTTCGAGCCCTGGCCGGGGACATTATGTTGTGTTCTCGGGCAAGACACTTTACTCTCACAATGCCTCTCCCCACCCAGGCGAATTTAATGCTGGGGGCAACCCTGCGATGAACAAGCATCCCATATTCATTTATTCCTGGTCAAAAAAAATGACTGAGATGTTATGAGAAATAAAGACGAGTTCAATCTAATCTTACAAATACTCTGCCTCCCGAAAGTAAAACATTTTCAGTGTAAAATTGAACTATTTACGAGAAAGATAGCAATTAAGTACAAACTAGCTTAGTACTTTTAGAGTTATTTCCTATTTACAAATCACATCAAGATTTTATTCACCGCTGTCTTATCAATACCCGGCATGAAAAGAAACCAACGGTAACAGCGATACTTCACAGGAACTTTATCTGCAAGATGACAGGAAAATCACCACAGGTTCGTCATGTTAACTGAATTCGCCCGTTTTCAAAAGCCAAATATACCTCTGCTTACTAGCACCAAAATAAACGAGTCTTCTTCTATCAGTACTTTTAATTTGATAAAAACGTCATTTAACTTTACTTTACCTACCGTGCTTTGAGAAGTGAAGGCTGTGATGAAGTCCAAATCTATCCGTGTCAGCAACAGGAAACCTCTCTTCAAACTAAAGATGACGTAATTAAAAAAGGCTTCATATTTCGCTGTGATTCACTTTCTTTATGATTCATGTCTCAAAAAAAAAATAAACTGGAGGATATGTGTAATTTCTTCTTGGCTTTCACTTGACGTCATCACCGCCATATTGGATGACATTAACAAAATATTTTTATTTGCGTCATCCAGCAAGGCCGCCAGGCCTTCGCTATTT